TAAACATATATGTATAGTATGGTGTTAAAACAAAATAACCACTATAGTTCTGCATGGAAACAATCTTATGTTTTATAATTATTAGTAATCAATATAAAAATAGCATAATTCAATATTTTGTGACTCAAAATATTTGAACTAATGTGTATTTTAATGCATTGATGTTTTTTCACAGGAAAACAAAGAAGTAATAAAAATGATTCTAATGATTGTTTTATGCTTTGGTTTCTGCAGGATCTGCTGCTGTTGGCTTTATTGGGAAGAACTTTATTCTTTAGAGATAAAAGTTGAACTTAATCAAAAACTAAAAAGGAAATAAACTATTACACTCACCGGCCACTTTATTAGGTACACCTGTCCAACTGCTCGTTAACACTTAATTTCTAAGCAGCCAATCACATGGCGGCAACTCAGTGCATTTAGGCATGTAGACATGGTCAAGACAATCTCCTGCAGTTCAAAGCGAGCATCAGTATGGGGAAGAAAGGTGATTTGAGTGACTTTGAACGTGGCATGATTGTTGGTGCCAGAAGGGCTGGTCTGAGTATTTCAGAAACTGCTGATCTACTGGGATTTTCACGCACAACCATCTCTAGGGTTTACAGAGAATGGTCCGAAAAAGAAAAAACATCCAGTGAGCGGCAGTTCTGTGGGCGGAAATGCCTTGTTGATGCCAGAGGTCAGAGGAGAATGGCCAGACTGGTTGGAGCTGATAGAAGGGCAACAGTGACTCAAATAACCACCCGTTACAACCAAGGTGGGCAGAAGAGCATCTCTGAACGCACAGTACGTGGAACTTTGAGGCAGATGGGCTACAGCAGCAGAAGACCACACCGGGTGCCACTCCTTTCAGCTAAGAACAGGAAACTGAGGCTACAATTTGCACAAGCTCATGGAAATTGGACAATAGAAGATTGGAAAAACGTTGCCTGGTCTGATGAGTCTCGATTTCTGCTGCGACATTCGGATGGTAGGGTCAGAATTTGGCGTCTACAACATGAAAGCATGGATCCATCCTGCCTTGTATCAACGGTTCAGGCTGGTGGTGGTGGTGTCATGGTGTGGGGAATATTTTCTTGGCACTCTTTGGGCCCCTTGGTACCAATTGAGCATCGTTGCAACGCCACAGCCTACCTGAGTATTGTTGCTGACCATGTCCATCCCTTTATGACCACAATGTACCCAACTTCTGATGGCTACTTTCAGCAGGATAATGCGCCATGTCATAAAGCTGGAATCATCTCAGACTGGTTTCTTGAACATGACAATGAGTTCACTGTACTCAAATGGCCTCCACAGTCACCAGATCTCAATCCAATAGAGCATCTTTGGGATGTGGTGGAACGGGAGATTCGCATCATGGATGTGCAGCCGACAAATCTGCGGCAACTGTGTGATGCCATCATGTCAATATGGACCAAACTCCCTGAGGAATGCTTCCAGCACCTTGTTGAATCTATGCCACCAAGAATTGAGGCAGTTCTGAAGGCAAAAGGGGGTCCAACCCGTTACTAGCATGGGGTACCTAATAAAGTGGCCGCTGAGTGTATATTGTGGCTTTTTATTACTCCCTTTAAACGTTATCATTTAAGTATTTAACATTTTGAAACCATACAGACTCAAACAAAACATGAGTATAATCTAATATTTGATTTTAATGAAGTTTATTGCTCCACTTCAGTGTCGTTTCTCACTTTGATTTGCTATGAACAAATTATAACGAGTTTATACTTGGAAAGTTGTTGATAATTTTCTAAAACTATTAAAAAATGTAAAAAGATCAAATCTATTTATGATAAAAATACATCTGCTTTAATTTTTTTTAGTTCATTCTTGAAAATCCTAAATGTGTGATGCATCTTTACCTGTAATTATAATAACAATAATAATAATGAATCATTTATTAAGGAACAATGCTTTCCCCATTTTCAGGGAAAGATTTGATCCATTCCCTGAATATTATGGCTTCAGCAGTTTATTAGAGGAGAACTGCAAACATTTTGGATAGAAGTTAAACTAAAGAGAGGAAGTTTCTGAGTCTTTAATCACTGACAGCTTTAATGTTGCTGCTTTATTTACACAGAAATCAAGCTTAGCTGAATGTGTGACAGACTGAGCAGCTACTACTGCATTAGAGCAGATAATATCTAATCCACTCCTACAGAATCTCACAGCACTGGATAAGCCAATCATCTCATATCACACCATCCATCATATATGATTCCAAAGAACTGCGCCTTTTCCTGCCAGTAGAGATATATCTAGAAATATTTATCTATATATCGATAGACGGAGAGAGAAAGTGTTCTTTCTTGGACTCCAGCAGAATAACGATGTGCAGGCCGTTGATGTTAATCGACACATTGCGTAATAGCCTCCATGTGACAGGCCGACGTGCCTCCCATCACCATCCTGCCCTGACATTTCAAACATCCGTAGACTTCCACCAGGAGTCCTACAGCTGCCTTACAAATGCACAAACATCAGCATATAAGCGCTCTGGGATTTAACGAGAAAAAACAAAGAGGAGCAGGAGGAGGACCCTGCATCCGCTGTGTCCTCCACTTCAACTCCAGACCCTGAAATCAAGGAGCAGACATCACCTCTCCCCCCGACACTCAACCCTTCCAGATTCTCCTCCCTTCATTTTCACCACAGCTATAATCATCATCATCATCATCATTAAAACTATAATCATTATTATTACATTTTGAAAAAAGTGCAAAATGAACTTCCGTAGCGGCCGGGCAGGGCCTCATCAGAAGGCGGGGCCTCATCAGAGGGCGGGGCCTCATCAGAAGGCGGGGCCTCATCAGAAGGCGGGGCCTCATCAGAAGGCGGGGCCGTAGAGGAAACAATGGCAGTAAGAAGAGCAAGAAGAGCGCGAGAGCAGAAAGAGAAAAGAGAAGAAGATTTCTGCAAAGTTTGAATCCTGTGAATGCTCACTCAGCCGGCAGCAGGCATACATCAACACAGCGGTCCAACCTGGGGGGGGGGGGCGGCAGGACGGACAGGGAGGAGAGAAGAGGCTCCCAGCTGGATGAACACGCTTTGCTTTCTGCCTCTAATCCCAGGTAACTTTGGAAGGTTTCAATCCGTCTCTGCAGTTGGTGACGTTATAAAAAGTATCTTCCAGGGACCGAATCTTCTTTTTTCTCTCTCCATGTCCTTTGATTTTTTTTACTTCTGGAAAAAATCCGGACGAATCCATGTCATGAGCTTGTGTCCCTCTTTTCCCAGCTTTGGAAAGTTTACATTTTTTTAATCTCTATTTTTGTTGGAGCTACAGCACAGCACCCACAGCACACAGACGACGAGGAAGGCTCCAGAGAGAGGGATGCTGGGGGGGGGGGCAAAGTAAGTCACTAATATTGTGTCAGAAGGGGCAAGGGGGGGGGGGTACAGAGAGGAAAAAAGGTGAACAAATCCATCCTGAGTTCAGCTTGTTTCATTATAAACCGATTATTGATCGATTTCAGTGGCTGCAGCTGAACGTTAGACCAGGAAAGAAGCTAATTTGAGATTAAAATGAAATAAAGAGAAAGAGAGAGATAACAACAACAACAAGGGAATATATGATTAGAGAAATGAAATGGGAAACAGGTAAAGAGCTAAAGCTAAGCTATTATTAGCTGGTCGTGTTTGTAGGTGAAACCCTGTTAAAACCTAATTAGATCCATATAGGTGCATCTCTGTAGCAAGGGAAAATTATTGCTTTCTAATTCAATTCAAAATGGAAAAAATCACAGAGATTGACTAAAAACAAAATAAAAAAAATAAAAATTATTTGGAGTATTTCTTTCTCTTATTTTTCTAGAATCATAGCTTACAGGTGATAAAACCCCAAATTCCTGTTTCTCAGACCAAAGCCTTTAAACATTTGATCCATGACAGACGGCCGTCCATCAGACTGTGGATCAGAGTTTTTTAAGCCACAAAGGTTTATGGTTAAGAAAACTGTTAGAAAGTTAAGCGGAAGGAAAAAGTCCAGAGGAAAAGAGTCGGAGGTGTCAACGGATCAGTGACCGACTACGGCTGCAGTCAGAGCTGTTAGAGAACAGACACTGCAAAAAAAATTAAATCTAAATAAGTCATTTCTTCTTAAAATAAGGGCATTTTTCTTGAATTAAGGATTTAAGTGAGACACTTTGCCAATGGAACAAGACAATTTACACTTCAAATAAGAAAAAAACTATTGCATTGTCTTATTTCAAGTGCATTTTATCTAGATACCTTATTTTAAGAGTAAAAATACTAATTTTATTGGCAAATCATCTTATTTACCTGCTCAAATTAAGGGTAAATACCCTTAATTTAAGACATTTTTACTCATTTTGAGATCATTTTTGCTGACCATTGGTTAACCCTTTAACAGCTGATCATTGGTTAACCCTTTAACAGCTGACCATTGGTTAACCCTTTAACAGCTGATCATTGGTTAAACCCTGTCGGCTCCTTAAAGGTGGAAACACAGCTTCTGCCATGTTGGTCGGTCAGCCAGTTCTCCTCATATAAACCCCCACCAAGGAGAGGAAGAGACATCAGAAAAAGCAGGAAAGGATGTGAAGGTGGCCATTAAAGCAGCAGGACCACAGACTGACGGCCTCTATGCCACTGAGCACCGAGTCCTGTTGGGTTTAGAACTCTAAACCACAGACAGTAGCACCGCATTCTGGATTAAACGTCTTTTTCATTGGTCTGAAGTCAGAATCAAATTCTCTGAGAAACAGAATTTGGGGTTTATCCAATTAAGGATATAATGGACTGAGATCCACCTGTATGTATACGCAGTAGATTTTATATCATCTTATGTAACTGTACTATTATTACAGTAGGACTAAATGAGTTGAAATTATTATAATTAGATGGGAAACCACCTTATTTAATTGATCAGGGGCTGCAGGGACGTTAGTAACCAAGGGACTGACGAAGAATAGGATTATTAGACCTCCATGAGCCAATAGCATCAGGACGGACAGACAGACAGACAGACAGACAGACAGACAGACAGACAGACAGACAGACAGACAGAAACAGGGGGACTATTGGCAAAGTGGTGATGCAGAAAAAACACACAACAGCTCTAGGGCGTGAAATTCAGAGGGAAATAGAGAATCTAAAAGAAAATAGAGTTTAAAGGTTTAAGAGAGCAGATGGCTAATTGTACCCGTGTTTCGCAGCCTGGCAGCAAGTCAGTCTTGTGCATAAGGACGGGAGCGGGAAGAGGGAAGAGAGAACTGGGCCAGGAAATAGGAGATGGGAAGTGGCCATGGAGGACGCTGGGTGGAACGATCAGGCCTTAAGAGCGTGCCACTGGGCCACATTAGTGCGCGGCCGAGCGAGCATGTCCTTCCAGTGCTTTACTTCTGCGGGTCCGCTCTTCCAAGATAGGTAGATCTGAGAGAGGGGGCAGAAAAACCACAACATTCACCCAAACTCTGTAAAATCATCAGCAAAATACATTAAAGTCAAAGTATATCATGCATTATTCATCATTCAGTCAGAGAATAAACAGAGGAGATTTGTAGCTTTTAATGCAACTATTTTGCTAATTGAAATAAATAACTTCTTTTTCTTTAGTATTTAGGCCTAAATAGGTTGTTAAAGTTATCTATAGGTTATAAAACAAGCTCCTTTATAGACGACTGGCATCAATAATAAGTATTTTCCAAAATGAGTTGTATTAATCAGTCATGATCTGAATATGTTCACTGATCGGGTTAAAACACTTTGCACAGGATAGAGCCAAGACAACTTTCTCTGATTTAAAAAAAATCACACCGGAGAAAGAATATGGAACATTTTGAAATGGCTGAAATAAAATGCCTAAATTGATGTTTAATGATATTTACTAAATGCTAACTGATGCTGGAGAAAGAGTTGGTTTTGTTAAATTTGCTTATAAAGGGTGTGTTGTTCTAACTGAACCTATTGGATGGCGTTAAGAACAGTTCATGGGCCGTATGACCGCCATATTGGACCACTATCAGTGCTGAAAGTCACCTTGGGATTCCCCGGAGGACCCCGCGACCAGACCCCGGATAATCGGTGTAGGTACCAGATTGACTCGGGGGCCTGCGCCTTTTGATGACGTCACAATACATAATTGTTTTAACGCTAAAGTAATTATAGCGGGGTGTAGGTTTTATTCGAAAGCGGGATTGCGGTTTCTAAACGGACAATTTTACGAACAAATTCTCCATGGGCCTTGCGCCTCCCGATGACGTCACATTATGGCAACACCACTCAAACAAACTACATTGAGCCCGCGGTCTGCATTTGTAACGAGAATAAATTCAGGAGAATGAAGCTAAAGGGATACAAAAAATAAACTTGTAATATTACAAAACCAAAAATACTACGAATACAAAGTATATTCAGAGATTAAAGTCCCTCTGATACTGTTTAAGTGACTGAGAAACTGCTGATTTGCCACATTTAAGATGGCGGACGCTCTGACGCATCTCAGCATAGGCGCAGGCCCCCGAGTCAATCTGGTACCTATACCGGAAGGAAGGAAGGAAGGAAGGAAGGAAGGAAGGAAGGAAGGAAGGAAGGAAGGAAGGAAGGAAGGAAGGAAGGAAGGAAGGCACACATATAATAAACGCCTTTGGCAGAATTCAAATGACCGAATTTAATCTAGATTAATCTACATTAATTCCAGGATTATATGCTCTGTTCGGAAACCTAGGACGCATCCTTAGAAGACCGGATTCGAAGGCCGATTACGTCATAGCACGGCGCCGAGGTCTGGTCGGATTCAGAGAGTCCTCGTTATGCGGCCTTAAAATGCGTCCTTCTTTTAGCCCGATTTGAAGGACGGGTCTGATGTATCCTCGGTATTCTTGGATATCCCAGGTTTCATTGCGAGACCAAGAAAGCTGTGATCAGAGGAAAGGTTACTTGGCGCCGAACAGTGGTGAAAATTGGAAGTTCAGTTTAATATAATACAAGTCATTTAATAGTTCCGTCTGAGATTAATGAAAAATAGTTGTTTTAATGGTTATAGAGTCAGATATGTGGCGGTAATGTTTGATTTATCTAAAGGTTTTAATCTGTTACTGATTAAATGGGTTTGGCTGGAATTTAAGGACAGATTCTAATATATCTGCAGGGTGGGGACTATAAATCTGATAGGAGTTTTATCTTTTTATTGCTGTTTTGCACAATATGCTTAACTTTGTATTTTTTGTTGTTGAATATTAGAGATTTTGCAGATAGATTTTTTATAAATACATTGTTTAGATTTACTTATATATTTCTAACCCTTTTATAGAATAGAATAGAAAATCCCTTTATTGTCCCACAATGGGCAGATTTACAGCAGCAGAAAGATTATTGAAGACGTTCATATGTAAATAATTTGCTCGTTTAAATCGTGCATTTTCTGGAGTTGGTGTGAATCTTAAACTGGACTTAGGCACTTTTTCAGACATCAGAACAGAAACTTGTAACTACTTGCATCCAGAGATGAAACGGATTTAAAGGACTCTGCAGACTCCCCTCAGATCAGACTCCCCGCAATATCATAAATTACCTTTCCGATAACATCGTTGCGGCTCAGCCTGTCCTTGTCCATGACGGTGATGATGATGGTGGTCTCCCTAAGCACATGGGCAGGGACATCAAAGGGGAAGGACTCGTTGAAAACTGGATTCAGACAGCGCTTTATCACCGGCGTCTTCTTCTTCTCTACGCGCTTGTCCTTGTGCATGAGCCACACCTTTACATAAGGATCTGCAACAAGGATGGAGAGAGGAGCAGTTTATGCACGAGCTACCAGGAAGATGCACACATATGTTGTTTTTTTTTTTTTTGCTTTCAGGGTCAGCGTTGCAATTACCCTCTGAATTGTTAGAGTCAAGAAAGGCAGCAGGAAAGCAGAGACCTCGACTGACCTCAAGGTCAATCTATTCCCTGAGATAGCAAATATACAAATAAAGTATTTATGGAAATGGGGCTTAAGATGCATGCAGCAAATTCTGGAGCAACTCTGTAGATGGTCATAGTAACTGAAGGGAGGTTTACTTAGAAAAGGCAAACAAAATGGCACAAAAAAAAATGTCACAGCAGGGTTAAACCTGAGGTGACCAGAGTGCTGATGCACATTCAGCTCCTCACAGAAACACGGGATCCAGAGGTCGTCCGCTATGCAGACAGTAACGCCTGCAAAAATGGCCGAACTCTTTGAAAATTCTCACATTTTTCCACATACCAAGTATTTTAATAAAACTGTGGGTTTTAGAGCAATGCTTATGAAACAAATACAATTCAACATTTTTATCAATAGTACAAACATTAACCAAGCTATGTGAAAAGCAAGATAAAAATAGGTAGTAAATAATAATATTAGGGGATTTACAATATATCAGCATTAATATCTGTAATCAGATATTAGTAATCAGATATTGAGGCTGTTTTTGTCCAACAAGCAAAACTAGGCCGATATTAACGATCGATGTGGATTTCCATGTAGTTGGTATTTTTGTTTCAGGAGGGGGAGGGGATCAGTCGTGTAACAGAGAGTGGGAAGTGGCTCACGACTGTAAAACTTTAACATAGGCAGAGAATGTCAGAATTGATCGCTTTTTAATGGTGTCCAAAGGGTCCAAAATATATGAAACTGGTCAATTTTGGTTATTAGCCAGAAGGTTATGTTAATATCAGCTATTAATACCTGAATCTGCTGGATGTTTTTTCTTGTTTAAAGGGAGTTTTACTCTCCACTGTCCCCGCATGCAAGCTCTGTGTGAAAGATTACTTTAGAGTCAAAGACAAAATGCTCATTCAGGAAGAGCGTATCCTGCAAGTCAATCACTGGATGCAATCAGCTGGTTTTCCACAGATAGAAAACATTTAACCAATCAGACAGTAGTGTCTCTGTTAGCATGACTTGCATCGTGAACTTGTGATTAAACTTCTGTCTCCTTGAACCCCAGTGGGCCTCAGCAGATGGCCGCCCACACTGAGCCTGGTTCTGCT